CTCAGCATCACAAATGGTATACCGCCAAAAACCATCATCCAACAAACCCTGGAATTTGCACAGTGCACCTGAATGAGGCAGGAGTAACATGTGAGCTTCATGACTGGGATCGAAGAAAGCAATCTCGGCAACCAACGACATAGTATCCCCCTTATCAACAACAGAGAAGTCCATTGGGAAAGATTCCATGGCAATGGCAAAAGTTGGTGGAACGAACACCCAGCTATCAGCCTGCGCAGCCGTACCCCACTGGCAGGAACTGGGCCAAACGGCTGTTCCAAACCACCAACCAGCTAAGTTTTTACCTCTTGGATATTCGCAGCCAAAAACAATGTATGTTTGCTTTCACTGCAATGTCCTTTTGCTGAAGGTAAGATGCAATATATCAAACACTTTGCTCCCAGCAGAAATATGCCGAAATGTGGACTATTTCCTCAATATGAAACATGTAGAACATTGTAGAACCATTAGGTTGCCCTGGTTATCCCTGATTGCCTCTGTCAGATGTGAAGGATTCAGCAGGGACATACCGCCCAACCAAGGTTTTTGGTGGTATCCGGCATCCTGTTAGTGATCGTACAAACAGGCCCCATGGTGCCCTCACAGTAAATATGTTTGTTGGTTTTGCGGGCCCAATTGGGCCAATTGGGTATATCAGTATATCAGTATATTCATCTAATGAACACAACTTAGGTAAGAAACCGGCGCACCGCCCTGTGCAAACTGACCCTTCCAACCAGAATTGATATCATGATACTGCTTAGCCATGCTTAGCCAACCTCAGAGAACATCCCCAGTCATGGCCATCGAATATCCCCCAGTACAGTTCTAGTATGAACCATGATGAATCCATCCCATGTAGTTTCTGCACATAAGCCCATAGCAACCAGCCTTCACTAGTCGCTTCCGACCACACGTGGGGGATCACGTCACGACTCCGGTTATATAGTGTCCGTGGGGTTGTAAGTTGTTATACCCTCCCCAAACTTAACATAGACCCTGCCATTCTTCGGGCCTTGGAGAATTACCATCTGGTTATTTAACAGTTTGTCATGGAAAATCACAATTTTTAATAGGTAAACCATCTATTTCTATGGGCCATCGTCTATACCATGGCTATGTTAAATAACCAGAGGCTACGTTCCATCTAAAATTTGCTGTTTTCAAGGTCCAACTGTTCATTTGCGGAATGGTAGTTCTTTGATAAATGGGACAAACCATCAACATCTGGGGACCTGGGGACTTATGACCACTACTTGGAGGATAATCCCCCTTACTAAGTGGTTCATAACCCTAAACAACTTACGTTCCCTAAGTGTTATCCATAGTTCTCCCATTTCTGGTTTATAACCCTAGAGGATTAACCACTTATCCCCAAAAAAAACACATGTTGTCCATAGTTATACCACTATATCCCATTATATCCCTTTGTATATATATACTGTATATCTATCTGGCTGGTGGTTTCAAACCCTCTGAAAAATATTAGTCAGTTGGGGTTACTATTCCCAATATATGGAAAAATAAAAAACGTTCCAAACCACCAACCAGATATATACTGGTTGGTGGTTGACCTACCCCTCTGAAAAATCATGGAGTGAAAGTCAGTTGGGAGATGTTGGGAGTATGACATTCCCAAGATGATGGGAAAGTCATAAAATTCCATGGTTCCAAAGCACCAACCAGGTATTTTATCATTAATCACCATGATTACTCACCATTAATCCATATTAAAGCACATTTTGAACCATTAAACCATATTAAACCACCAACCAGCATATCTATATCCCCACTATCCATAGGATTCTCCGATCCCAGCACCACTTGCACCACCACTGGCCCGCCTCTTCGTCTCCTCGGTCATGCGGCTTCGACCAGCCAAAGGGCACCTCCTGCGGCTTTGAACATTGGACCAAAGATGGGTAAAACATATTATGGTGGTTTATTATGGGAATATATCAATGGGAATTCCAGGATCCTAAAATGGAGGTACTGTACCATATTCTTGGCCATATTTTGGAGGTATATCCTCTTACATAGGCCTTACATATGGTAGGTACCTCCAATTTAGGTTCCTGAAATGGCCATTGAATATAGCTGGGAAAATGAAGATAATGAATGATAATTGGTAATATCTTGGGATATTGATGGGATACTAATAAAATATTTAATGGGATATTAATGAAATATTACAGATATTTAAGGCGTATATATATATATATATATGTGTGGGATGAAAAACTATGACTATACATTTATATATTTAATTAATCTATGGGAGAATTAAACATATCAATATTTTATATATGGGATGATGTGTGGCTGGGGCCCGCCGTTGGTTGCCGCGTTCAGTTGAGATATGGCTGTGGCTGACGTCTATGGCTTATGGCAGATATGACGAACTCAGATAGCGTTCAGTTGAAAGTGGTTTAACTATGTTTAACTATGGTTTATGGTAGATATAACATGATATAACTATAGATAACTACAGTTAATGGGGCACCATCCTGTAACAAGTATATGAGAACTCAATGAGAACTATCTATTTAATATATGGGGTGATTAAACATGAATGATATATTTCCCGATTCAACAATGGGAATAAAAACAAACATGATTAAGCCAAAACAATTAGTAATGATATTTTTTAGTAACCAAACATGGAGACAATTAAATTATGATATACCCTTTGGCAAACTAACAGTTTGCTATGGAAAGTCATCATTTTTAATAGGTAAATCGACGAACTAAATGGCATCTTTTAACAGCTATGTCGACCAGGTGGTGCAGATTATCAGATTAAAAACAGTATATACCTAGCTATCCGTAGATATATCTACCATAAACCCGTCATAAGTTACTTATAAATCAACATGGGAAAAATGGGGCACCATTCTGGTCCCAGCATTTTGTGGCATTTTAACATGTTGAATAAGTAATGACGTAAACCATTGGACAAAACAAACCAACCCGCAAAAGGTATCAACAAATGTGGTCAGGAATCCATCCAGCTTCCCTCACAGGTGGACCATGCGATTCTTGGAATGGTCTACCAACTCACATTGGATTTGCTGAAATGGTTCGAAACAAAAAACATATATAATCGACATATTTATATTTATTTAACATATTCATTAAAAAACACATCTGATGAGCATATTTATGTATTTATATATATATATATGTATTGCCTTAAACGATTCCCAAAATAGTGAATGACAAAAAAACACCTTCAGCAAAGATAAGTCAATGGTTAAAGGTTCCCTTTAAAACTTTAGGAATGGATAATACAACAAACCCAAGCCACCAGTTGACCATTGAAAAATCATCTTGACATGAACCAACCTGAGTGGCAAACTTGCCTCCAAGAAATTGAATGACTTTTATTATGGAAGCTTCCTTAAAGTGGGATCCACCCGATAACACAAACCATGCCATGGTGAAGGTTTATGAATTTGGGCATACCTCGATCTATAGGATGATTGAAACATATTGCAAACGACACCCGGATGGCCCGAACGGATAGTGAATGGGATGGTTAATGGCATTGCGTTTATTGTGGTTAAAGAAAACATGACATCCCATGACATATCCATATAATCAGTGTGAATTTCCAATATAATCAGTGTGAATTTCCGGCCCTAAAATGGTGGTACTGTACCATATAAAGCCATGGCTTGGGGGACAAAAACCCTTACATAACCCTTAATTTAGGTTTTATATAATATATATATATATATATTATATATATATATATAGCCTCAAATTTCCGGCCCTAAAATGGCGAGCTCCGCTACCGTCGTCCTCTTGTCTGTAGACCATGAAGCTCGCCATCTCTTCCTGGCCCGAAACGCCACGCCACGCCATGGGGGGTTACCTACAGTTATGGCCATGTATTAGTTATAACTGGTGATTTCTATGGGATGAGGAACATTTTATAAATGGGGTTTTGTTAGTACTTATAACTGGCATTTCGGGCCATAACTGTAGCAAACATGGTGATCTTATGGGATTTCATAGGGTTTAAGCAAGAAACATGATGGTTGAACTGGATTGAAACTGATTACCCTCTGGTAAAGAAACATGATTATGGTATAGATGGCCCATTTAGTTCGATGATTTACCTCTTAAACATTGTGATGTTCAATAGTGAGGTGAATTTACTGAATGTTATATTACAGAGATTGCCATAAAGTAGGGTATCCACATTTTAGAGAAGAAGGCATATGTTCCAAGCAAGTCTAAGCGACCCCTCTACCCAGAAGTATTGACATATGTTGACATTACTCCTGAAGTCCACCAATATGATCCTCAAAACCTTCAGTTAACATCAGTAAACCAGTTCTTGTTCGGGGAAAACGTTAGCATCCTTGAAACCTAGAAAGTGGATGTCAATAATTATTGAAAGTGAATATAGGTATGAAATGTATTCCCGCTATTAATTCCTAATACTGTATACATACACACCCTCTAGTCATTTTACAATTTGCTATATTTGAACATGACCCATATATAGTTCCATAAATCATGACGATGTTCCTTTTCGCAGTGATGCTTCATCGCAAATGGTTAATCGCTCATCATTTGCCTATGGGTTCATGATGATTCATGATGACTTGCCCAATGGGATATTGTTGATTAATTATACCACATTAACTCATTATAACTATATCCATGTTTGGAGCTAATGTATCGCATTACTAGCTGTTGTTTTGGTTTACTCATGTTTGTTTTTATTCCCATTGTTTTAATCAGTCAATACCATTAATGTTTAATCATCCCATATGTAAAAATATAGTTCTCATATACTTGTTACCATTAATGCTGTTCCATTATTGCTCCAATGTTTTAATCTGCTTGGTGGTTGACCTACCCCTCTGAAAAATATGACTTCGTCAGTTGGGATCATTATTCCCAACTGAATGGAAAGTCATAAAATTCCATGGTTCCAGTCACCACCAACCAGTTCATTTATCATTAATCACCATGATTACTTACCATTAATCATCATTAAACCATATTAAACCAAACCACCAACCAGTTATTGTTGATGATTGGTATAACCACCAAGCAGGTTTTAATCCGTCAATAAGCCACAAATCCATCGCGAATCGCCATCGCGCCTCCAGGCCATAGGGCCTGATTTCCATTCGCAGGTCCATCCGTGTGGATCTGTTTGCAGCGATGAATTCCTGACCGAACAATGCGGCACGAAAGGACGAAGCCGGGGCGCCCAAGTGAACCAGCCAAAGAACAAAAAAAACTATAGTTTTATGGATTTAAACACCAAGAAACTATAGGTTGATGGATTTAATCCACACATAATTAAAATCATATGTGATTTAAGGTGGTTTTCAATCGGTCCAATGACCAAAATTTGAGCCCCCCTGTTTTTTTTACTTTTGAACATGAAACTCTGAATTGTGACATGAGGGTTCTGTGTGAAAATTGCGAGATGATCCATTGATGAACAAACCATCTGGGGCTCATTTTACATAATCCTAAATCCCAAATAAAAACCGGGCATACTGTAATTACGCAACAATAAAGCTGGTGACGGCTTATATATGAACTGGATTTACCACATTCACCAATAGACATGAAATCCATGAATAACATTTAACAAAATAAGAAAATTCCATAAAATCAACATGAAATTTATCCGGAAATCTCATGTAATCCCATGTAAATCCTCCATTTTGGATCATTTTGGTTTGTAAAACATGGTAAAATCCCCGCATCTTCTGGGAATCCCAAGGGATTTGCCACGGGTTTTCCCGCTCCGCTGGGTCTCCCCACCGAGCCCCGCTGGAAGGTCACCGACATGGCGCCGCGCGCGGGGCACACGGCCACGCTCCAGAGCTCGGATTCCCTGCGCTCCACGGAGAGGTTTGGAACAGGAAATGGGCTGAATTCTATGGTTTAGGGTAGACATAACTAAAACTATAACTATATAGGGTTAATTAACTATAACTATAACTATAACTTTAGGGTAGATATATTAATAAATCCAATAACTATAGGGTTGATTAGGGGGTTATGTCTATAGTTAATGGGCATTAAAAACCAACTTATAACTGGTTTATTGAGGAGTGGCTGAATTCTATGGCTGAATTCTCTGGTTTATGGATGTTTATGGTAGATATAACGAACTAGTTAATGAATGTTAATGAATGTTATAAACCACTTATGGGTACATTTATGGTTCCGATAACTCTAGTTAATGTGTAATTATGAATATACCAACCATTTGGTTAATAATAATCCACCATTCATGGGTAATAGTCAATACGCAAATTATCCATTTAGTTAATGTCATCCATGAATGGGTTTACTGTGGGTTAAAATGAATGGCTGAATTCTATGGCTGAATTCTATGGCTTAACTATGGTTTGTGGTAGATAGATAGATAGATAGATAGATATAACAAACTATGGGCACATCTATGGTTCAGATCACTACAGGGTGGAGCCCCAGTTCGTTAGCTAAGTTGGCGAACATAATTCCAATAACTAGGGTTGATTAGGGGGTTATGTCTATAGTTAATATGGATGAAAAAAAATAAAATAATTGGTTAAAATGAGTGGCTTCTCTATGGCTGAATTCATAAACCACTTATGGGTACATCTATGGTTCAAATAACTAAAGTTAATGGGTAATTATGAACAAACCAACCATTTGGTTAATAATAATCCGCGATTCATGGGTAATAGTCACTAGGTAAATCATCCATTTAGTTAATGTCATCCATGAATGGGCTTACTGTGGGTTAAAATGAATGGCTGAATTCTATGGCTGGATTCTATGGTTTATGGTAGATATAACGAACTAGTATTCATGGGGGTCATAAACCAACTGATGGCCATGACATGCCATGTTATCACTGTTTTTGCCCACCTGCCAGGTGAGGGTTGTTAGATTTTATCAGAGTTGTTCTCCTCCTCGGCTAGCTGTCCTCCTCGTCCTCCTCCTCCTCTTCCTCCTCCTCGTCCTCCGCCTTCTCCTCCTCCTCTGCCTCGTCCTCCAGTTTCTCCTCGACCATGTCTGCATCAACTTCCACCTCAACTTCCGCCTTGCCAACTCTTCGCCAAGCTCTTTGCCAACTTCCCAGCTCAGAGTGCACCGCTGGACCTCAACCTGGGACCTGCCCAGCTCAGTGTGCACCGCTGGACCTCAACCTGGGACCTTCCCAGCTCAGTGTGCACGGCTGGACCTCAACCTGGGACCTTCCCAGCTCAGTGTGCACCGCTGGACCTCAACCTGGGACCTGCCCAGCTCAGTGTGCACCGCTGGACCTCAACCTGGGACCTTCCCAGCTCAGTGTGCGCCGCTGGACCTCAACCTGGGACCTTCCCAGCTCAGTGTACACCGCTGGACCTCAACGGCCAGATAGAATGCCAGAAGATATGCCAGATAGAACGCCAGATAGCATGTCAGATAGAATGCCAGAAGATATGCCAGATAAAATGCCAGAAGATATGCCAGAAGGTATGCCAAATAGAATGCCAGATGGTATGCCAGATAAAGTGCCAGAATGTTTGCCAAATAGTATGCCAGAAAATTTGTCAGAAGATATGCCAGAAGATATGCCAGATAGAATGCCAGAAGATATGCCAGAACATATGCCAGATAGAATGCCAGAAGGTATGCCAGATAGAATGTCAGATAGAATGCCAGAAGGTATGCCAGATAAAGTGCCAGAATGTTTGCCAAATAGAATGCCAGAAGATTTGCCAGATAGAATGCCAGATAGAATGCCAGAAGGTATGCCAGATAAAGTGCCAGAATGTTTGCCAGATAGAATGCCAGAAGATATGCCAGAACATATGCCAGGTAGAATGCCAGAAGATATGCCAGATAGAATGCCAGATCGAATGCCAGAAGATACGTCAGATAGAATGCCAGAAGATTTGCCAGTAACAAATCGGTAAATGTCATGGTGGGGATCACTCGAAGAAAAGTTTTTTTTCTATGGGATGAAAAAGATTCTATAGATAGGATGGCTTGTTGGTACATATAACTGGTATATAAAGGGCCTTAACTGTATGGTTAAAATTTATCTATGGCTAGTCAAAATTGATTGGGTTAGATTATAGTTACTGTGGTGGATTTAAGTGATTATAGTTGATACATCTCTATATAAGTAGTCTAGTTGTTATATGTATATAATTGACAATTGGCTTCTAACAATGCTTTGTGCTGGCTTTTCTAGCAAACAAAATGGGTTGATACATGTTGATACACTATATCTATACTTACTATTGGTGATGATGATGATGATGATGGTGATTGAAGATCTCCAATGAATGTAGAAGTTTAACGAGGGTGGGAGAATTAAACCCTTATCGAATATCTTCAATGAATGTAGAAGTTTAACGGGGGTGGGAGAATTAGACCCTCATTGAAGATCTTCAATGAATGTAAGAGTTTAACGGGGGTGGGAGAATTAAACCCTTATTGAAGATCTTCAATGAATGTAGAAGTTTAACGGGGGTGGGAGAATTAAACCCTTATTGAGGATCTTCAATGAATGTAGAAGTTTAATGGGGGTGGGAGAATTAAACCCTTATTGAAGATCTTCGGCCCACACTGTGTAAGTGAGGGCCTGGAAAGTTTGTGTGGACTTTGTGAACGAAAGGCTCTCCACACTGACATTCCCACCATGAGCGCGCAGTTGATCCAAGATGGGCCCACTGCGTGTGCTCCTCTCCCTTATCCCAGCGGATGTGATGGTGTCGACGGTTTGGGAGCGATGGGGAGTGTTGAATATTACCAAGAAAATGAGAGAGAGGTCACGTGATTGTACCTTACGGCCCTTGGCTGACCTGTTTGGCACCGCCACCGGTGGTCACTGGCGTAGGAGGGGCAACAGTAGTGCCCCCAACACCCTAGGCGACCACACCATGCCCAGGTCCCAGCCCCTCCACAATCTTTCTCACCTCTTGCTGATACTGCTGCTTGTCAACCTCCGTGCCACTTCTTGGGGTGGTTCCTTTCTCTTCAAAGGCCAACGCTGTCGCTTCAGCAGGGCGCATTCCAGCCTGTGTGTGCTGAAATGCCGCCCTTACTAGTTCTTTCCCAACAGCTGCCGATGCCTTGTCTGGCAGCTCCACAGCGTGCAATCCTTTCGCTATTGCTTCATGTTGTGCCTGCGTCAAGCCACCAGGCAACGGTGCCATAAGCTTTTGCAAGCCCTCCACCGCAGCCCCCGCAATTCGGTCAATGTCAGCATCCGCTAGCACCATGTCCAATTTTCGGGACGTTACCAACTGACTATTGATTGCGCTCATGAAGCTTCGAAATAGTATATAGTTACTATGGTGAATATGGTTACAAGTTACCATTAATACTTACTGCGATTCCCATCCTTTAAATAACCACTCCTGGTTAGAAGTAGAGGTTTTGGGGTGGTTTTCTGACCACAACATGGCTTTGCTATGGTAGATATATCGTTAACTTAACTATATTATAGTTCTATTGTATAATTGGCTTACAACATTTATAGCGAAGGTGGTTTTTGTGGAGATTTATGGATATTGATCTTGATTCAAGATGTTGTTCTATGGGTTTCGACGGTGATTTTATGGGGAGATTAGCCAGGAACATAGGGATGATCTTGTGAGTTTTGGATATGTTTCATATTTGTTCGAGGGTTCGTTACTTATCGCGAACTGTATGCGTCTTTGATGTGACTTTGGTAAAGAAATCGATGAGTGAACCACAGACCATGCATATATTGGCCAGTCAAAGCATAGTATTCAGATGATTTCCTCCGGTTCATTGACCAGTGCAAACATCAAAAACACCGCAAATCCAAGATCTCTGATGTTAATGACGACCCAAAAGTTTGAATGTGGAGATTGCTGAGATTTATCTTGATTTATATAGTGTGCTTAAGTAGTTGTCTCAGGTGATTTCATGAGAGAGCACGGAAAATAGCCTCTGGTAATTTAACAGTTCGCGAACTGGAACATGGCCCATAGTTAAATAGTTTATTTACTATGATTTACCTATTAAAGATTGTGGATCTTTCCAGTTCGCAAACTGTTAGTCATTACCAGAGGGTAGGGATGATCTCAGGTGTCTTTTTGGGTCGGCTTAGTCGCTGCGTTGAGCACGGAAAGACTTTGGGGCGTCCTGGTGTGAAGAAACATGGGATCCCCGGACTAAAAAAGACCTGATGATCCAGTCATCCATGGACAGCACAATGATTTGGTCCCCAATGATTTCTTCGTGGATAGATATATATATATATGGTGGGCATGCATATATATATATAATATGGAAGTACATACGTTCTTCGACTCGTGTGTATGTACATGTATGTACTATGTGTACGTCAAACACTGAACTTACCCCTGACTTGCCAGGATATAGGATGATCATCCCTGATGCTTGGTAGTCGCCCAGAAAGTCACCACAAGGCGGCGCCCCAGCCCGTGAACGCAAAAAGTTGGTGCAAATAACTCCAATTTCACTATGGTTTATGGATGTTTATGGTAGATATAACGAACTAGTATTCATCTGGGCAAATTATAATATTTCACTAACCTGAATTAAGGCCATTTGGGGATGATTCCTCTTACTAACCATGATTATAGTGAGGTCGCAGTGAGGTCGTTATAATTTACTCAGATTCATGGGGTTTATAAACCAACAAACATCACTGAGGGGCACCACATTGCAGAACTTTGCGCAGCCAAGCAGCTTTTTGCCCTTGCTACGGGGGGCTGCATCGATGCCTCAAATCTGCATGGTGCTGAAGGGTGTCCGTTGCAACTCACGGGGGTATGATATTACTACTGTAACTTGACTGTAATCATTTAAATCAAACCCACTAACATGAATACCTCCCATAAATCAAGGTTTGGTGCTGGATGTACTCATGACTTAGGGGTTTCTGACTCATATTTAGGTAAATATTCTCCGTCATCATCCAGCTCCATCCTTTCACAACATACAGCGGCACATCCAGGCAAGCATCACCATGATCAAACCACCCCTCCTCTGTCATTTCAGTTGCTGGATGTTTCAGAACGGTTCCCATTTCGGCTCATGCACGATCATAATCCCAAATAAATAAATAAATAAATATATATATACAGGCATTTGATAACCCTCTATTGCATAACCAGTCAATCATCACTTATTCATCATGTCCTAATTTTTATGACCGTTAACACGTGTTAAAACATTCTAAAACCCCTCAAAAACAAAAACCTAAAATCATCAAGCAACCATCATTTATCAAACATATAATCTTATCATATCCTATCCCTACAATGTGGTGCCCCTCAGTGGTTTTTGTTGGTTTATAAACCCCATGAATACTACTATGTTACTATAGTTATATCTACCATAAACCATAGTGAAATTGGAGTTATTTGCACCAACTTAGCTAACGAACTGGGGCACCACCTTGTAGATATATCGAACTATTTAGAAGAAACATAAACCAACAAACCTTTCACTGGGGCGTGTGCCTTCCTGCAGCAACCTTTGGCTTAGAGAAACACAATTTGCTGTCTGTGATTTGTCAGATATAGCCAGGTCATATACCCTCTGGTAAGCTAACATAACTATGGAACATCACAATTTTTAATAGGGAAATCAACTATAAATGGCAGTTTTCAATAGCTCTGTTAGTTTATGAGAGGGTACCCTTAATTCCAGCAGTTCATCATAAGTTTCCTCAAACTGCCACCATTTTTAATAAGCCAAATTGATGGTTCAACACATGTTTGATGCCTCACCACCATTTTGCTCACCGCGCCCCGCCTGTGCTCAGCGCGAAGGACGTGCAGCCCGCCGTTTCGTCCCCGCAGAGCACCCGTCCCGACCACTCGAAGGTGGCACCCGACCTTGTTGGCGTCACAACTGGGGAAGAAAAACATGGGGCTGATGGGAGTTACATGATATATATCTGGTATGTATCAAAAACACATATAAATACACAATATATATGTATAAACAATATCCATATATATATACATATATATATATATCTGGGTATATTATAATATTTCACTAACCTGAATCTTGCGGCCATTTGGGGATGATTCCCCTTATTAACCATGATTTCCAGTGAGGGAGAACAGTGAGGTCGTTATAATTTACCCAGATATATGTATAGAAAGAATATAACATAGTACACGTTTTTAACCTATGACAACATCGCTAGCTTATGGGAGTTATAGGTAGCTATAACATGCTATAACTATAGTAACTATACTTATATAGAATTAACATAGAGGGGGTTATAAACCAACAAACCTCAGTGGCTGGCCCAGGTTCAAAGGGGCTGCTATCCAGTGACCAACTGGGCACGGCTGACCTAGTTATCCTAGTTGATTCAACCAACTTAGATAACCGAACCACAAACTTAAGTGTGATTACTGGTGATTTCTGTATGGTCAATCATATCCCAGGACTTTTGTTTCAAAGAATTGAGGCGCCAATGGAGCCACCTGTGCAATGTGTAAGGCAATGTTGAGGGGTGTGCTTCAGGATCCAGAAGTTGAGCCGTGGCCCTGTGCTTAATTACTCAGAACGGCCAACGATTAAAAAAACATAAAGTAAATTGGTCTAGAGTCCTTCTAGAGTCCATGAATCTGAAAACTATTGACATAGGTCTTGCACTCTGCGTGGAACTAAATTAAAATAGTCTTCATCCAAGCCTACATGCAATTCCACTTGATCCTGCCAACTTTGCACCTCACAAGTGTTGTGTTACCTGAGGGAAACTTTGCACCTCACAAATGGTGGCTTGATTTTCAAGCCAAGGGTCGTCTCCGGCCGGAAGCGCAGTTGAAAGTCCTGTGCATCATCCTGCGGATTTCAGGAGATGGTCCATCAGCCAAGTTTCAGCCCGTCCCAACCTTTCGGAAGCAAATGTCATATATCGTTTTCTTCATGCACACCGCCATACACAACCCCCGGATTTTCTACTAGAAATAGGCCGTATACTATACCCATATGCTCCATGGTGCTGGAATATTTACCTACATTTACCACACAAATGGCCCAGTTTTGTAGGTAAATATGCCAGCACCATGGAGCATATGGGATGTACAAAAATCCACAGTTGGAGGTGGCATTGGCATTGGCTGTGCTACGGTACTACGAGTACATTGGATCCGTGTACGGCCCTGCTAGTGGTGACTATAAGAGAGCTTTTCCCAAATACGACAAGATTGAAGTCTTGAACAACAATATGGATGGTTAAATAATAGTTGCGGTAAAATTGCATTAAAATTGATTTATACAATATCTTAATTACCCACAGGATCCATGTATGGTATATATGCTAACATTTGGGGTATATTGATGGTAAATGTTACCATATATAGCATACATGGATCCTATGGGTATGCATTCAGATGTTAAACCTGCAAAACATGGAAATCGGCCCATTCACACCCCAGCAGGGCACAAAAAAGCACAGCCAAGCAGCACTCGTGGCGGTCCAGTGATGCACCATCGACCTCTGGCTGGGATTTTTTTCGGGTGTTTGAAGGCCAATCAATACCCTGCCTGGTAAACATACAAGAAGCTATGGAAAATGGCCATAGAAATAGATGATTTACCCATTAAAAATGGTGGTTTTCCATTTTTTTTGTATGTTTACCAATGGCCATTTATAGATGATGATTTACCCATTAAAAATGGTGGTTTTCCATAGTTACGTTATTTTACCAGAGGGTAATTGTCCCTTAGATCCCCAAGATCGGGAGGGTATATCCCTTTCCTACTGGATAAATTTGGATAAATCCCCATTGCGAAGGAAAATCCGTCTGCTTTGGTAGGCACCACCACCAAACCGCCAACCAAGAGTTGAGCAATACAATATAAAATATATATATATATGTATAATCACTACCAGTCTCTACCAAGTAGTACTATCATGCAATATCATGCAATATCCTCGTTTGTTAATCTATCTGCTGGTTTGGTAGGTCGATAAAGCTATCACACGATAGATACTCTCCATAAACCTATACAACAACATCCAGAATGATCCCAATTGTTGAATCCATACTATTGGATCAGTACCCATCGTTGTTGGTTCATACAAGGTGGTGCCCCAGTTCGTTAGCTAAGTTGGTGCAAATAACTCCAATTTCACTATGGTTTATGGTAGATATAACTATAGTAACATAGTAGTATTCATGGGGTTTTTGTTAACCAACAAAAATCACTGAGGGGCACCTTACCTTGTAGGGATAAGATATGATAATTTGTGTGATAAACGATGGTTGCTTGATGATTCTAGGTTTTTGTTATCTTGATGGCTTCATATCTCCATGAAAATATCACCACGGTGCCACCGTCGACCGTGACCGGCGGTCACGGTCCACCCGGAAAGGCCCAAGGACTTTTGAGCTTCGAGGTTTTGGATCTGTCCAGACTGCAACCTGACCAGCACTGTCGATGTCAGGGGGATCACCACCCCAACAAAGCGACAGCAACGTTGGGATCTCACCCAACTCCGCTGGTTTTAGATACCAACTCCACTAAATAGCCTCTGGTTATGTCAAAATAGCTATCGAACATGGCCATTGAAATAGTGAGTTTTCCCATGAAAAATGGTGATTGTCCATAGTTGCGTAAACGTTTACCAGAGGGTAGATACCAAGTCTCAGAACCTCAAAACTTGCCATGTCTGTCGAATCAGCCCATGACCATCGAGGGTCATACGATGGTCACCGATGGTCATGAGCCGTGAGAAATAGCCACGGGAACATACGGGGAACCATCGCATTTTTCCCGATATCCACCTGATGGGTTGTAGTGGCTGCTGGCTTCATGTGGTTTCTCATTATTGTTGCTTCAAATCCACATTTTGGGTGGAGATATGTGGAGATTATTGGAGATTCACAGAAAAACAAAAAGCTTGTAGAAAATATTGCAACTTAATCTGGTTGGTGGTTGACCTACCCCTCTGAAAAATATGAAAGTCAGTTGGGATGATGACATTCCCAACATATGGAAAAAAACACGTTCCAAACCACCAACCAGTAATAACCATTAATAACCCACATAACCTCCGCCCAAAATCGGCAGGTGGCTGGAGCTGCAACGTGGCATTGGAGGAATTCGTCAGCACCAAACGCGGTCGAAAGATCATCGCCTGGTTTTTCTATCACGTGAGAGGCTGGTTGCGCATGTAAACTGGTGATCTGAAGCAACAAAAAATTGGATTTCAACGGGCTCTTGGACCCCCAAAAAAAGCGGGGATGCATTGGGAAGCTACAAACCACTATTCTGGCAACATCTAAGTCTCTAAGTGCGGATTTCACCACTAAATTAATCTCATTTAGTTGTACTGTTAAGATTTGGCTTGTATTTTTGGGGGCAATCACGGGGCCTATACTGATCTGGCACTCACAAAGATGCCTGGATTCAACAAAGCCATGGATCATGATCCGGCCATGGGAAGACAGAATTGAAAAACACCGTTTTTTAACCGAAAAAATGAAGGGCCTGATAAATTCAGAATGGTTGTACATACAGTATATAATCAATAAGTAAATAATATGGAACATCAGTTAAGCAAGAATCAACTGTAACATGGGTTGGTCAACCAATAATGACGATATGTATTGATAACCGTGGTTGTATTCCTAGTAGCCAGCCAAGACAAAAAAATCAGGATGCTGTTTGCCGCTGGTTGCTACTAGTTGGGCGATTTCCAACCTCATGGGTTGCTACTAGCAGCTTCTGGGTGTATAAAACACCCAGATTTGACCCTGATTTCACCGGAAACCATTCAGAAAATCATAAACAAGTTATGTAACTTTGGTTTTCCCACTGAAACCCATGGGTTTTCACCCATCATTTGGATCATTGATTCAAGGCCAATCACTTCGAATCACCAACTATGATGGTTTGTAATCCGTCTAACTGGAGGTATCAACCATTCTTCTGGGGCATTTTAAATGTGCCATGGGGTCATCCCACCATAGGAATTCCTTATTTCATCGCTACTGAAATTCATCTGTTAGTTATATTAGTGGAATGAAAAACGGGACCCGGCTGATGGGATTCCCATTCCAATACTACAACTCCATGTTTCAGGCTCTCCGTATGGGAAGATAAGATTATCGGAATGGGGGTCCCATCGGCCAGGGAGTCCCTATATATATTTTTTTTTAACGGAGATTCGTATTAATGATTTGTTTTTGTTTTTTTGTTCCATCATACCCCTGTAAGCTTTATCACATTAAATCGCCAGGTCATAGATGGTCAAATCCCCTGTAAATCATCATCATTTACCCCACAAAGACCACTCAAACCATCTAAAACCTTCATTAAATACTGTGCATGGTTGCGAAATCCTGCGCCAGTCTCAGTTGGTAAATGGTTCCCATTCTAATCCCATTATTTGCAATGTTTCATAGTCACCTGGTGGAGTTACGCAGGATTTCGCAACCATCCACAGGATCCATCTTAAATCCACAGGATCCAATGGATGGTGCCGCACCTGACAGGCGGCCCCGTGCATGTCCTCCGTGTGAAGGTCTTCGGCTTGAATGCAGAAGACCTCGACGACGCAACGGAACGGATGGGCCCGTAGCGGGACGATTCTTGTTGGTCCGATGATGCTGAATCATCCAGCTATGCATATCAGCTATGGTTATATTAATTGTTAATATTAATGGTTAATTAACTGGTAATAATGGTTAATAATGGTTAATGATGGTTAATTAACTGGTTAATATATAATGGTTAATCATGGTTAAGCATGATGGGAATTTTAACCATCAATCTGGTTGGTGGTTGCTGCTAACCTCTCTGAAAAATGATGGAGTTCGTCAGTTGGGATGACGACATTCCCAAATATATGGAAAAATGTTCCAAACCACCAACTAGCTTAGTTCAAGTACTTACAAACCAACTTAGCTGTCACAAATCAACTAATTCTAAATCTATATCGACCAAAAAATCACATCTCTACAGTTGGTTTCCCAAGTCCTGTGGCGCACCACAAAATCTACAGCCTGCCACCGAGACACGAAATCACCCAGATGCGTCTGCCATGGCACCACGCTGAAGTTGGGAGGCATACGCACCTGGACGCAAAACCATCAGAAATTTGATTTGAAGAGATGTTAAATTCACCACCAAAACAGAAGGAACCATGAAATCCTACTAAACATATGCAGTGAGGATGTAGTTTTCTTCCATTTGAATGAGATTACTGTAAGAGGTTGTTTAATGAATTTGAATGACTTTTATCAACCACAATGGAACATAAAACATTGGATTTTCATGCGGTTTTAACAAAACAAAATTGTGATTTGACCGTCAGAGTCATGATGATCCAAGAGGACGAATGGGAGCCGGCGTCATCCCGACATGCATGGAATTCTCCAAGTATCTCCTCAGGTGTATACTAAGCCCAATGAACATTAATGAACATTGGGAACCATCCCATTCAGCAAAACAAACCATGCTTTGACATGCTTTGACTATTCCATGAATGTGTCTATCCGATGCACTAGCTAGCGGATATAGACCAATAATAACCAGGACACATTGGCACATCAACCTCGAAAAAGGAAGCATGGGACAAAGTAAACTCGGCACTCGTATGTGCCCTCAGCCAATCCCATCTCCATGATGACTCGTTTCAATTGGCGAAACGCGCAACCCCATTCACACTTTGGGCGAATAGATGAATCAATTCCTGGACTTGCTGGAAGGACAAATATTCCATGATGATACCCTCTGATAATTTAACAGTTTGCTATTGAAAATTGCCATTTATAGTGAGTTTTCCCATTAAACATGGTGATTTTCCATAGTTACGTTAAATTACCAGACGGTAACGGCTTGAAAAATGTTTGGAATCAATCCCACAACAGTCATCTTTTGATGTGTCCAGATCAATAATATCATATAATCCCATTCCACATTACCCTCCGGTATAATCAAACCTGGCCCTAAAAAAATGGCTGACTTCTTAGACTTCCTCGCCTCCAACGGGGTCCTCTTCTGCAGTTGACCAGAAGATGTCAAGAGAAATGTGCACGATTCCTCCACACCTTCGGTTCAATGGAGTGGTTCGGAGAACTGGTTGATTTTGACCGGAAACCATGGTTGGTAACAACATGCCATTTTTTTTCGATTTCCGGTTTTGATTTTGCCATCATCCACATCTGGGAGTGACTCAACATTGGGGTTCCTTCGGCAACAAACTGGTTTTGTGAAGATGTACTTGCACCCTCAGTTTTAACCAGCATGGTTTGCAAACAATCATTGGGAAACGGTGTGAAAACAACACACAACGGGTTTTCCATGCAAAATCAGGCTGCATCAAATCTCACCATCACATGTTGCGATTCCAAGCATCACCTGTTTGCGAAAGGTCTAACAGTTGGTTATTTACCGGTCGAACATGTCTTGGATGGATTGGGATGAGTCAAGGAATTATTGAATAAGCAGGAAACAAAAAAAACTATCAAATACAGTATAGTACAGGGCTTCCTGTTTTTTCCCTAAAACAAACACAATTGTTTTGCCTGAATGTTTGTGTATATGTATATATATATCTGTGTGTGTACATATATACATATATATATATGCATTATTATATATCCTTCATTTCCAATGAAAACATTATATATACATAAACAAATGCAGTATACAATATACATCTTACTATGTATTACAAACATATACATATCCAGAAATGAACACATGTATTTTGAACCGTTTTCTTGTGGGGCAACAAACATATTTATGTTGAACCACTCTGTTTGGCACCCTTTGGGGTCATCCGTCAGAAATTCATGTATGTATATTTGCAGTTGCCACATTAGACCCAGTGAAGTTTCTCTCTCCATCGCCATCTCAGGGAAGTTCCAGCTGGCAATTTTCCCAGTACGAATTTCAAAAACAAATTTACTCCATCTGCACAGTGTGTGTGTGTGATAAAAATATCTCACCCAATTGCTGGTCATGCCAGCAACCAAGCTTAAATTAGTCGATCATGAATGATCATAATTGATACACCGGAAAAAATACTAATTTCATGGCCAATACTGGATACCCTGCAAACATGACCGGATAATATAAATTTCAACATATATACATACATACATATGTATATATATATATACATACACACATATATATATATATACATACACATATATATATATATATACACATACACCCATCCATATACAACACAATATCAAGGTGCTAAACTTATGTAGCCAAGAATTCCCCAGTTGCATTCGACAAAGGACATTCTGCGTGTAAAAGCGTGAGGCCGTTGCAAGAAGGCAACGGGCGACCTGTTGAGGCGTAAAATTTGGGTAGATTGGGATGGTTCCAAATCGGATGAGATATGGGTTTCGTATGGTTTCACCAACCAGAATGGGGGAATAAAACGATGTCAACAACCAAAAAGGCAGATAAAAAATCAAACAACAAAAATAAAATAAGAACAACATAGAACAACCAAAAAGTAATACTCCAAACAAACTGATTATATCATTGCGTTGTATTCGCAACAACATGGGGGCAGCAAATGGTACAACCAACGGTAGATTTGAAGCAACCACTCCTGCTACGCAAACACTTGTGCGGTGAGTCAATTTACACATTGACCCCTCCTCATGTGGAAAGGGAGGCCCAAATGGGCGTTCAAAACGCCTGAAGTGGCGGCGACAGGGATTTGGAGGGTTTCTTTTCCAAATTCGACTATTACATGTAGAGCTGCTGGGGCAGCAACCAAAAAACACACACTACAATTTCAAGAACATCTGAGCAATTGACAGTAATGTCAGTAAAGCAATGGTAAGCCAGCCACATTTTGATGGTCAATGGTAAAAGGACTTTCCACCCTTCCTTTGCGAAACAATGCCCTTCCTTAGTCACTTAGTCCTTTCGGATGCACCGCGTCGCCTCTGTACTGAACATTCAACTTTTGATGCGAAAGGAAACCGGAACGATCCACCAACCTCAGATAGCCGAGGTTGGATTTGTTTCTTCATGCTGAGGCTACCAACTTAGAAATACTTGTTTATATTCATGTAAAATTGTAAAACGATCCCAATAAATAAGAGTAATCAGGGTTCATTACCAATCAGGCTGCGTTAAACCTGGGTTGACGTCAGGCCAAAGGATGCACCACAGGAGGGTCTTCTGGCTTATTGTCTGGTGGCCAAAAACCCTGTGCATCATAAGTCCGCAGTTCGCGAAGTTTCCTCTGTATATAGTTGGGTTAATAAATGTTCATAAACCCACACTTTGAAAGCCAATTAGCGTGAGCCTCCCAATGCTTACATCAAAAAGACCGGTGTTATCGTTTCAGGGGCAGTGGAAGCCCCTGTATATCAAGCCGAATCAGGAATCTCTCCCGAAGCACGGTTCCATATCTGCTCAGCCCCGACGCTTAAAGGTGGAACTTCGGAGATCACACATTGCGGTGCGGGCGGTTGTCGTCGCGAAGCGACCAGAATATGCATACAAATAATTTCAAATGATATATAAAATAATATGTATATATTATATATAATGTATGTATACTGGGGATATAGTTGAGATATAATGGATGACACAAAAATGAAGACAGTAGAACAGTTGAAGACTATTCCTACTGATTCATGGCTGGTCATTTACAATGGACACCATGCATTACAATATGTTAAAACTCAGCTGCCAAACCAAGGATTGCGCAGCAAGTGGCTCAGTAGGTCATTGGCCCAGCAATTCGCATCAGCATAGCTAGGGATGCGGGGTTCAAAGTTCAAACATGCATGGAGCACCAGTAGAAACCAACCATTCAGAACATGTTGCCAACAAATCCATAGTTCATCTTGCAAGGCAATTTAAACAGAAATACTGAATGCTCTGCGCAATGTTGACATTCCTTGCACATATAAGCCCCCAAAAAAACGGTCAGAATATGGGTGCAAAATTGGTTGGGTCGTCCAATGGGTGCAAAATTGGTTGGGTCGTCCAAGTTGGTGCGGCAGGGAAAAGATCGCATGACCAAAATCCCTGCCTACAGGTCTTACAACAGACATGACTTGGAAGTTGGAAGCAAGTCCTTTTCCATGGCTTGAAGGCCCAGGTGGTACTTCCAGCCTTGAAATCTGCCAAGCTTACGGAAGTCTTGCTTCTATCAAGGTTGCTCCCAACAGCCCAGATGCAAGGGCTGGAAATTGGCTGAATAGAGGGGTAAAAGCACCCATTTTCTGGCAACGATTTACCATAGCTTGGAGCAATCCAAAAACCGCAGTCAAGCTTTCCAAGCTGCATCAGATATATTATCTCCTCTACTGAGCCAGTGTCTTGGTGTCCATATTTTTGTTGGTTTCTAAATCGGGATAAACAGAGTGAACCCTGCTGAGTTCAACCCTATCATTCATCAACTAGTACCAACTGCTTATGACTAACAGTTTGCCATGGAAAGATCCACCATTTTTAATAGGTAAACCATCTATAAATGGGCCATTTTCCATGGCTATGTTCAAAAACCAGAGATAACCAGAGGGTATCAACTAAAACATGCTCTAAATCCCATGTCTGGTGGTTAAGTCCGATGAACAACCCCTCAGCGTCGGCCCGCCAGGCAACCAATTGGGACATGAGAGCCGCAGCTCATAGTGACCTATGTGAAGACACTTGAAGGGTGACCCTTTGAAGGTAGAGACATGGCTTCAATATCCAGCATCACCCAGATTGGATGTACCTATCAACATGATAGAAGTGAACAATAGGGATTCAGACAAAAACATGTGGAAATGATAATCTTACTGGTGCGTTTTACGCAGGGAATTTTCGGGAATGATCCCAGTCATCACTAGTAATTCATAATCATCCCAGCAACCCCCAGCAACCCAACCATTCCCTACGTTTAGCACCAGTAAGCAATGATGGGATGCAAAGCATCTGGATCAACTACAATTCCCATCATTCCAAGCTTCGGTCGCAACACAAGGGCCACCGAAGAGGGGCATATCCGTGGATGATAGCTGGATATCTTTCTATGCATCGTTAGGTAATATCATGTTTTTTATGTGTATATGAATATATATATATATATATCTCTCTCTCTCTCTCCCTGGTTGGTGGTTATTATTCCCAATAGATGGAAAATAAAACATGTTCCAAACCACCAACCAGATCTACATATATATATATATATATATGTATATATATACCGTACATACTTGGGTATTTGGGGAGTTTGGCTTCCTCCTGTAAACTCTGTAATAAATGTGGAGTTTAGCCATGGTGTCACTGGGAAATGATCGACTTGATGCCACTTGGGAACTCACCTTCCACAGGATGCTCTTGGCAAAAGCTTTTCTGGTTGATGGTTGACTTACCCCTCTGAAAAATATGAAATTCAGTTGGGATGATTCTTCCCACTATATTATGAAAATTAAACATGTGTGAAACCCCAACAAACAGAATATAGGGGTAACTATCTTCTATCCCTCCGTGTGGTGCAGTCAAAATCCCAGCTACCTCACTGGATACCTGACCAAAGAAAATCGAGAAAATGAAAACCGACCCCAAATCTATATAAATCATATATTCAGAAATAAAATCACATCGCTGTGTAGTAAATTTCGTGAAGTCCTGTTTATTTGCCCAATATGCGTTTATGGTCCAATTCTGCTAGCGGGGGGGTCAATATGCGTTTAAGGTGTATCAAAAAAAAAAATCGTGCGCCATGAACGCATATTGGGGAATCAGGAAAACCCATTTACCAACATTTACCATGAATGCAGGGAACCATCGAAAAAAAATAGTACATGTTGCGAGGTCCATTTTTTGTGTAATATGCGTGTTTAATGTATTTTGGGTGGCAGGGACCTTAATTTCCCTTTTCAGTGTGAAATAAGATTTTGGCGGATTTCTGCCAGCTATACCAATCAACCATGTGATTTACTGGGCTTGAGGAAAAATACCATCGGATTGTGTGAGGATATCATCCGAATTTTCTCAGGATATCCACATATATCAAGAGAAAGTTCTTGCGGCAGTCAGAATATCCTGAAAGTACATCAAGACAGTTTCCAAGATTTTTTGGATGTACATGATAAAACTGTTTAAAGGAAAATGAACAACATGGCAACATGTTCAAAGGATAAAATGGGGCATTTTGGGGGATGTCACTTTTGGAAACTGATGGAAATTTCGTTTTTGCGGATACCATCACAGTTTCCGAAGGATAAAACAATCTCTGAGGATCAGAATTTTCTGAGAAATAATTCTCTGACGGTATCATCATAAAGCATCTAGGATGTTCTAGGATTCTAGGATATCAGCAGAACCTCTGGGGGATACATTCAGAAATTTCTGAGGGTCATCAGATTTATCTGAGGATATCATGAACCATTTCCGAGAATATCAGAATTTACAGATGATCATCAGAACGTTTGAAGGATATCATGAGGAGTTTATCAGAATATCATTTTCGCGACATGCATCAGGTAATTTTGAGCACGGGAAAAGAGGCAAACACAACAAGTAAAACAGCGCGTGCTGTATGTATACAAAATAACAGCATGTTTTGTGTTTGTTTTTCCTTTGAGAATCAGATTTGCCAAGGTTCATCATTCTGACAATCTCTGGATATATCTGGTGATTGAATATCAAATACATTTGATGATTATCATCATGTTTTGGTCTATTTTAAAATAAATATAGCTTTGATGGTCAGGGAAAACAACAAAACAAGTAAAACACTGCGCGTTGTCTGTGTACACAATAGGGCCGTGCTTCGTGCTTGACTTTGCTCTTGGAGAAACTTTTTTGCAAGGATCGTCGTGCTGACGAGCACCGAATATATCCAATGATTATTGGAATTGTCATTAACCGAATTTTCTGGTGATTGTCAAAAAAATCTAGAGAATCCTCAGAATTATCTGAGGATCGTCATCCTCAGAATTTTCTGAGGACCCTCAGAATTTTCTGAGGATCGTCATCCCCAGAACTTTCTGAGGATCCTCATCTTCAGAATTTTCTGAAGACCCCCTATGCTGAGAATTTTCTGAGGATCGTCATCCTCAGAATTTTCTGAGGATACTCATCCTCAGAATTTTCTGAGGATTGTCATCCTCAGAATTTTCTGAGGATCGTCATCCTCAGAATTAATTCTGAGGATCGTCATCCTCAGAATTTTCTGAGGATCGTCATCCTCAGAATTTTCCGAGGATCCTCAGAATTTTCTGAAGATGGTCATCCTCAGAATTTTCTGAGGATCCGCAGAATTTTCTGAAGATCCTCAGAATTTTCTGAGGATCGTCATCCTCAGAATTTTCTGAGGATCCTCAGAATTTTCTGAGGATCGTCATCCTCAGAATTTTCCGAGGATCCTCAAAATTTTCTGAGGATCGTCATCCTCAGAATTTTCTGAAGATGGTCATCCTCAGAATTTTCTGAGGATCCTCATAATTTTCGCTCAATAAGCGTTTTTTTTCATGAAAATGTGCCAAAAAAACGCTTATTTTCAAACAAAAAAACGCTTATCGAGTGAAAATTCTGAGGATCCTCAGAAAATTCTGAGGATGACGATCCTCAGAAAATTCTGAGGATGAGGATCCTCAGAAAATTCTGAGGATGACGATCCTCAGAAAATTCTGAGGATGATGATCCTCAGAAAATTCTGAGGATCCTCAGAAAATTCTGAGGATGACGATCCTCAGAAAATTCTGAGGATGACGATCCTCAGAAAATTCCGAGGATCCTCAGAAAATTCTGAGGATGACGATCCTCAGAAAATTCTGAGGATCCTCAAGAAAATCTGAGGATGACGATCCTCAGAAAATTCTGGGGATCCTCAGAAAATTCTGAGGATGACGATCCTCAGAAAATTCTGAGGATCCTCAGAAAATTCTGAGGATGACGATCCTCAGAAAATTCTGAGGATGAGGGCCCTCAGAAAATTTTGAGGATGAGGACCCTCAGAAAATTCTGAGGATCCTCAAAGAGCCTGAGGATCCTCAAAAAAAGCTGATGATTCCTCAGGAAAATCTGAAGGCTCCTCCGAAAATTTTGAGGGTTCCTCAGTAAATTTGGAGGAATCTCCAGAATTGTTTGTTTGGTAACCATCAAAAAGTTCTGATATATATATATATATATGAAATTATGCTAATCAAGGATCAGTTTTTGTTGCAACACATCAGCTACAAAGTCCGAGGATATTTTGTAGCTGATATTTTCAGCGCAAATTGCGACTGTTTTCTGCGGATATCACCAGCATCTCATCATAACCTTTCTAAGGATATCATCGGAATTATCATCAGAAGTTTGTGAGGACTATCGGACCTGTCTAAGGATATCATCAGAATGGACTCATCAAAATTTCAGCAGAAATTTAGCACGTTACCAGCCATAAACTCTGGGGATATCATCAGGATTTTCTGATACCAGCCCAGAGGATCAGCATATAGTTTCTCAGGATGTCACATGATATCATATCACCAAAGGTTTCGGAGGATAACATCAGAATTTTACTATAGGGACCGTTTTTTTTTCAAAATTTGAGGGCGGCAACGCTTCAAACCGTTTGGCTTTGAAAGATTGGGGCGGATGTCCTCAGACTTGTTTGTTCGTTATTGGTGCCCGCATGCCAACATGAATATGTTGTTTCTTCATGAAGCGTTTGTTCGTTTGACTTTCCGGGATAATGATAATAACATTTAGTTGTGAGAATGCTGCTCAGGATCATCCAGCGGATAAGATGCTCAGGGTCATCCAGCCGAGAAGCATGCTATATTGAGATTCCATTGCAACAAAAATAAAACTTAAATGACTATATCAACGCAGATTGGCATATAGGAAAGTGAATATTGTTGTGGTTCCGTCACTTCCAAACAGGCGATATGCAAATTTACAGTCTAATTGGTCAAAAAGGAAAACAGCAAATGTTGTTTTTCACTCTCCAAGCACTCAAAACGCATATAGCGCAATCATTATCAGAAAATTGAATAAACCTTAAGCTCAGGAATGGCAAGATCTGACAATGTTTGCGGGTTGAATGTCCGGGCAAGGTCCTGCACATACCACCGGGAAAACCACCTGCTCAATATGCGTTTTCAACTTAGAATCATCGAAAATTAAGCGCAAAAACCTTCCATTTTGAGCTTTCATGTAGTCAAAACGCTTATTGAGGGTCCACCCTCAGAATATTCGCTAAAATTAGGGTTCACGAAATTCCTTATCGCTGTGTAGATGTTTTTTTCCCCCAAACCTTGGCGCAAGGGGTTAAGTTAAATCCTGGGTTAGTTGCCAGCTCCAACGGTGTAACGTAGGTAGTGGTTGCGTATAGAGAACACCACCCCCACAAAGGTCCAAAGCAGTTTCTATCAACTCAAATTTAAAGAACTACCTTGGAACCATCATTTCCCTTCGTTCAATCCCAGCTTTCTCCAATCAATAGATTGGTTTCTGTGGGAAAATCTTAACCGGAAACCATGGATTTCACCATCAAATATGGAGGTTTCCGGTGAAAAAATGGTCCAACCAATCCTTTGATCCATGATCCAAGTTACTCCAGGTGCCATCCATTGATCCCATGGCAATTTCCACCAAGAAGCTCAAGGGTTCCACGGCTACCCCACAGGGCGCACCATTGACGAACTGCTTCAGCTGCATCATTTGCACGTCGCAACTGTCCTGGGCCGTTTTTTATGGATCGTAACTGCTTCAAAACACAGCCTGGTTTCAATGAATTGGTGGAAAAATCACCAGGAAACCATCGTTTTTCCCATGAAATCTGAAGTTTCCCGTGATTTTTGCCAAGCAATCCGTTGATGGTGAATCCCAACGGACAGTCCGTTGCCACTCGGGTTTCGAAGCAGTTGCTAAGGGCGATGATTCTGTAAGAACCCTCTGGCAAATTAACAAGTATTCAATGGAACTACGTACTATTACCCATAGGATCCATGTATGGTATATATGCTAACATTTGGGGTATATTGATGGTAAATGTTACCATATATAGCAATATACATGGATCCTATGGGTTAGATGTTGCTGTTGCCAGATTAGCGGTTTGTGTTTAGTTCGTGGACATATCTCAATACATTCCAATGCTTTGAACGGGTTATAAGATGTTATAAGTTATAACCTACAAGCACTAGCTGCAAATTTCTGGCAACATCTAGAACACTATTGAATTATTCGCAAGAGTTTATGGGCATATTAAATTATATGTTCATTCTATTTGATCATTGTTTTCCCATACCCTCTGGCAATCGAAATTCACAGTTTTAGTTGGAAAATGTCGGACCATGATCGAACCCGAACTGAATGGGTAATTTTCCAGCCAACCAGATTCAATCATTGGAGAGTAATTCAAGAGGAAATCAGTTACAGTACCTACATTGAAGGTACTCACAACATGTAAGCCTTATGTAAACTAATCAAAGGCATATGTAGAGGGAATATTATGACGGAATATGGCTGCAACTCTGGCAGCTGCCATATCCATCAATTTTAAGTTCCTGAATGGACCATTCAATAATGGGTCATGGGAATCCACAATGATATGTCGATAATGATGATAATATACCCTATGGATCCAAACACTGTCTCAGAAGGTACTTAACCCCCTAAATCATACCCCAAACACTTCCTAGGAAGGTACTTGGATCCATAGGGATAATATGAATAGTGATCAAAATACGCTAGATGCTGGAGACTCTTAAAATAACATTTATGGACCTGTATGGGTAACTGATAATGATAACGATTGTAGCATATGGCAGCAAAACATCTGGAAAAAATCATACAATATTTCACTGACCTCTCACACACACACACCAAGAAAAAAAACTACCCTCTGGTAATTTAACATAGCGATGGAAAATGGACCATTTATCGATGATTTAGCTATTAAAAGGCTAATTTTCCATAGCTATGTTAATTTACCAGAGGGTATTTTGCGATAGTTACCCCAATCGTGACCATCATTCTAGCGACGTAACAATGAGGTTGTTATAATTATTTAACGTGGACATTGGACCGTGATCAGTAGGATGTTCACAATGACCAGCTAACAACAAATCGAGAACACATTTATGTATATATTTATATTGCATTAATTACAATAATCATGGAAGGGGGCAGGGCAAATGCAACACATTCATGGAATATTAGTTTGAACTCCACCAACAAATTGCGTCTTTCTATTCAAAGGTCCCGATGGGTCTGCAATTTTCGATCGGCCCATGAAAAAGTTCGCGCTTGCCAGCGCTGTCGGTCCATTGCTTTGGGCCAATGTGACGCGTTCCATGCCAATCGCGGGCAGTGGCGCTAGCGTTTCGGCTCTGATCCACCTCGTTTCCATAGAGGTTCTCACACTCTCAATGCTGCCTCCACACAACGTCCGCATAAATGTGTCAATGGGAGAATTCGGATCGCTGAATCAAGACGTTGTTTGGTGGCAAAGCTGCGGTAGCCCACAATGGCTGGATCCGTAGGTCTTGTATATTATTGGATTGATTCGATGTTCATTCCTTGATGGCAAATAACCCCTGACCACCAAGCATTCACCAGTCCGTTGAGTGGCCGATGTTCAGCCAGAAATTCAAGTACAGTATTCCCAATGTGGCTGTTGGTTTGCCTCACGATAAAAAATACGTCAACTGGAATCATCCCAGCTAGGAAAAGGACCACAATATACCAATGTTACACACACTCCCAGGTTTGTCCAAGCCCCACATACCAGTTGGAGTACGTTATCAGACATGCTCTAGACCTGGAACACTACAATAACCATACTAGGGTCTACATGCGCTACACGAGGTCTACAGTAAGGTTTGGGGGGTGCGGTTTAGGGTTGGCCATGATCATGATGATGATGATGATGATGATGATGATGATCAGTAGCCCGGGCAAACCTCAGGGCCTTGCCGCGATACTTAATACTGCATATGACGCTCCGCTTTAGCTTTGGATCTATTCATGTTCAAAGCTATTGTGGAGCTTTTATTTAAACAAATATTGACTATATTTGGGAGAAACCACCAACCAACCACACACACACACATATACCTTCTGGTTATTTAACATAGCCATGGAAAATCATCATTTTTAAGTTCGGTAAACCCAGTTGTTCACCATCTATTTCTATGGGCCATCTATACATATGGCTATGTTAGTCATAACCAAATGGTATATCCCATTAAAATCCCATTGAATCACTATAAAATCCCATTGAATCCCTATAAAATCCCATATATATATACACATATATATATATATATACACACACACATATATATATATATAGCCGGTTTCCATGTGTTTCCATGTCCCGTTTCCATGTCCCATCCCCACCAGCCCCACCTGAGAAGTGAAGGCCTCTTGAGCGAAGACCACGGGAGAGGACCAGGGGGCTGACGCTTCCAACCTGACGGAGCGAGCGAACGCTAAGGATGCTGCACTCTGCACTCAGTTATCTGCTAAGGTTGTCATCATAAATTATCTTAAATTACAGGAACTATAAAACAAACTATACAATTAACATCAACCAACATTTTCTGGAACTTTGACATTTCGAACTTACCAGAATATGTCACGACTTGCGATAAATGATGATTAATGTCAACTTTCTGGATTTCGGATATTCATTGGGATGGTTCCTGACTGGGTCATGCTTCAAACCTTTTTTTATTGGGATGCATCGCCAGGCCTGGAGACTATCCTTCACTGGATCCAAAGAACTGCAACATCTATCAACTGAAGGGCTACTGCAAATCAATCACATCAAACGTCTGGATAATATTTGCAGAACAAATGGAACGTTTTAGACCAGACAAGAAACATAGCCAACCAATTGTTGCGGTGGAAGCACATATCCATGTACTAACCATTTGCAATTCACTGTCCATGTACTCTCCCTTAAGTATCAACAATTGCTGTCTGGTACTATCCAAATATATCCATCTACTCCAAGACTTCGTAGCCGTCATCACTTCGTACCAGAACATCATCGTCTTAGATGTTGTCACAATTCTGGCAAAATATTGGATTACCAGTTGGTAATCAGTCTAAATCCCAATCATTACATGACCATATTTCTGGTCAAAAGCTATTAAATCATTGTTTCTCTTGCTCAAATCCCATTTGTTTCAAGCCAAAATCACCATGTTTCTTGGTCAAATCCCATGACATCACCATAAATGGGCCGAAATCAACAACGTCCCATTGTACCCATCCCCAGTCACCTTGCGATGATGGCCAGGCCATGACGTACGCCGGGGAAGCTGTAGTAGTTCCAGCGACTGAAACTGCTGACCACCGCCTCTGTGGCCTTGCGCGAACGGTGCGAACTTTCTGATAATGGACTGGGATATGGTATAGTTTTACATGGTAATGTCACTGGTTTATGTTATTCCGTGATTACCCACCATTATTCCATTACTAGTGGTTAAGTATGTAATTTTTATCCCATAGTGGATGAGAGTGGAATGGCATTACTATTATGTATGGAATGTCACTGCAGTTAAAGCCCTTTGCCAATTATAAATGGTCATTTTTTGGGGGGCTATACATTCCAGAAATGGGGTTATAAGTTATAACCGACTTGTAACTGGTAAAGGCCCATAACTTCATAACTGTGGTTTATGTTACTATTATGATTATTCCATGGATAATATTTGATTATGAATGAATGTAATGTGATATAACTAACCAGTACCTAATAAATAGTTGTGAGATAGCAATGGAATAACTTAATCATTGATGGGATAGTATTGATTCTACCCCTTTTAATAGTGGGATATAGTATGATATAGTATGGTTTTAGATGGTTTAATAATGATAAACACAATGACTATGTTTACAATGGGATGTGTTGTAGTGGGAATATAACGGGATTTTAACTAACAATCTTAGTGACCTATAGAAATATCATAAAATATCATCGGTTGTGTGCTTTGTTGGAAATATCAACTACATGATGAATGGGGTTTCCATGGGCTTTGAATGGGTATAGAATGGGAAATATATTGGGGATTCAAAGGTCATATTAAGGGAATATAAAGGCCAAATTTCGATGATCTCCGCGGGTGTCCTCAAACATAGGTTAGTCGTTAGTCCCAGCACCTAAGGCCGTGCTATGGCAAAGAGCAAGTCAGGCGAAGCCGCCATTAGCAAAGGAATCAGCTTCAAAGGGCTACCCTCTGGTAAACTAACGTAACTATGGAAAATCACCAGTTTATAGCTGGGTAAATCAACTATTTCGTCGACTGGGCCATTTTCTATGTCGCTTTTTGTATGTTTACCAGGCCGGGTAAGTTCCAAGCAATTCTCAGTGCCGGTCCAACTGGTTCTGCGGGATGGTCCGATGTTCCACAGTGCCCTTCAAAATCCCAATCTCGGAGTATCCTCTTCCTCACTCCATCTGTCAAAACCTCCCCGGCAGCGCCTCCCAATAGACATTGATCCAAAATGATCACGTGGAACTGCCAGTAGAAATAGTTGATTTACCTATTAAAAATTGTGATTTTCCATAGTTATGTTAGTTTACCAGAGGGTATCATCAATTTCAAACAAGTCCTGATCAGAATGCATAAAAGATCATCATGGCGGTCGGCCGCGGCAAGCTCTGCCGCGATGCCGAAGAACTCCGGGGAATCCCGGCCCGGTTT